TTTTTATGTTAATGGAAAAAATGAAATTGCAGTAATCAAATACCTTAGTTTGGTGAAGAAAGGCAACCAGCAATTTCAACCAACTGATTTTGTAAAAATTTTTTGGAAAAATTAATCACACTCAACTAAAGGATCCTTCATTTTAAAGTAATGACCTTTTTTTTTTAAGGAAAGACAAAATATTTTCTAGATTACACAAAGGCTTTACTCTTTCCCAGTGAAACAATCTCAGCCCTGTACTGGGTTGTAAAATATTTATGGACCTGGTCTTACATATCAAATTATTTCTTACAGTATATGTAATGAATTTAAGTATGTGCTTGGAATTGTTAAAGATACTAGCACTCTATTAACACCATAAATAATAATATTACAGACTTTAGTGGCTATACTTTTTTGGATTCTGAGATGAAAACCACTCCTGGATTCCCTAGGATTTACACATTAAAAGTTTTGTTTCTGTCTCCCAGTGCTGTATTTAATGTAGAATAGTAGTTAAACTAAAACAGAATCAAACTTCTTTCATTTTGAAAACTAGGAAGATTGCATGGTACATACTACATAATGCAGTGTATAGTGAGCCACGAATTCATAATATCTACAAAACGGTGCTATTTCTGAACAAATAAATCTATAATCTTGTTTTCTTACAGTGTGCTCCTTGGTCAAAGACATTTGCTTTGAAGGTCTATGGTATTTTCATTAAGGGCACTGAGATAACACATGGTTATATCACCATAAGACAGTATTTTTGTCATTTTATCTTATTGTCGTTCACTCCAAAATCCATTTGCTTTGATAAGAAAGATCACAAGAGAATATTCAGGAAATCAACACTGTCCAGACACCAGCTATTTAACTACATATGTTTTCCTCTGCACCTCATGATGATAGACAGTCATTAATTAGGTGAAGTATAGAGAACACTAAGAGACTTATTATTGATTTATCTGACAAAGATGCATTGCTCTGATACCATTACTTTTATTCCAGAAGCATATTATCTCAGCCTAGAAGACTGACAGCAGGCTTCTCCTAGTTTCATTCATCAGTCCGAAGATTTTTCACAGCCTTGGCCTCAGTCTTCTTGTGGAAGGCAACTGTATGTCTAATAGGAAAACAAAAGTGCAACTTTAGTGTTTCAATAAACTCCCACAAAACTACGAAAAACTGAACTTCAGTGTTTTAAGCGCATTCATTTTTTAGTGTAGAGGAAAGGGGAGAAAGTCTCTGAAGCTCCATAGTAGTAATGGACATCTCTTTTCAACACATAGTAACAAAAATCATGGAAGCTCAGACACAGCAAGATAGGGTTCATGAGTATGTGCTATGCTGAGTTCTGTTACAAGAGTGGAGCCCAGAAAAGTCTGGAGAAAAAAAAAAGATAGACAGAGAGAAAAAACCCACATTGCATTCTGTGGTGGCTGAGGCTAGCTGATGGCTGTTGATCATCAGCCTTTTGCAAATATGTGGTTAGGGAAGTGCAGAAAAATGCCTGAAATTCACATTGGCACGTTTCTACCCCTCTCCCATGTTAGTAGCAATGTTTTTCCCTGTGTATACAGAAACGGTTGACATCAGAATACAACTTCAGTGAGAAGAGCGGTTTGCAAACACTGAACTCCAACTTGCAGGCTTTTTGGGTAATTGAAGCAAACTAAGTCCACCAGTTCACACATGCTGGCTACGGCAGCACCACAATGTTAAGAAAAGAACAAAACAAAAACAACAATCCAAAAGCATTTCTGTACCTGTTTCTGTAGGAAAAGCTTGACAACATCATAGTGCTCTCAATGCCCAGAGGCAACTTAATAAAAGATTCAAGTGATGTGTGTTGCAGATTCATTCAAGGACATTTTTAACTTATTGCTGAATCTGAAAAATTAGCTTTTCAAGCATATTAAAGTTACACAGACATTCAAGCTGTTACATCCAAGCATAACTTTGTTTTCGATTTTCAAAATCTTCTTCACCATTTAAAAAAATAAAAAAAAGGAATCAAAATATCTCCCATCTTGTTTGCAAAATATCTTTGACATCATGTTGGAGATTTTGCTTCTGATGCTTTTTGGAAAGCAGCTTACAAAAGTCTTCATTTTTATCCAGAGTACATTTTTAGGGTAAAGCCAAGTTCGTGTTCTTAGCTTAAGTTTTACCATTCACAAACCACCTAAACCATAAAACAGTGGGGGAATATTTAACCTTAAGACTATACCAAGGTTATGTGTAAGGGAACCCGTATATTGCTAGAGCTGTGTTACATCAGATGATGAGCAGACAGTATGATAACAGGGAAGAGCCTTGGTTTCCACCTATCCTTTCACTTCCACCTATCTGAAGAACTCATGTAATAATGAAAATGTTAGAAATGGCTGCAATAGATACAACAGAAAGTGCTTCATTGAGCTATTAGTAGTGTGTGGACTCAACAGCACTTACAGTAGATTTTTAATTGCTTCGTCAGAGTTCTAATTTTTCTGGATGATCCAGTGACAAGTGAGTATCCATATATTTTGTTCTGTGCTGCAGCTACAGCTGAAATATGTTCACTTCTTTCAAATGGGATTCATGCTGTTGCAGATTGCCTGATCTGGAAGTCAGGAGAATGAAATAAGTATAGAGGAGACAGGACAGAGAAACAAGGTAGGAAAGAAAAAACAGTTATTCTGAAATCCTTTAAAATATCTCAAAGTGAAGACAGAGCAAATTTGTGATGTTTCTGAGAGAAGAGGATGGCCAATTCCCAATTTCAACACAACTGCAATTGTTTGAACAAGGAACTCTGTGAGTCAGTCACTGCCCAGCTGGCCACTTAGGGCAGCTAAAACAAATTTCAGATAGAATTCAGTTCTTGCCTTCTTTTATGTAACTTTTCTCTCACTTCTGCCCACACAGTGTGCTATTTAAACAGCAATGTAAAATACAGCCGCATGAATCATATACAGACTATTCCCGATTAGCAGGGAAATGTGAGGGTCCCTGTAACAGATCTTACCAATACTAAATGCTAGCATAAAGTAGAGATTTAACCACCATGCAAATTTCCCTATGGAAGCAACAGACAAGACATACATAAGACATATACAGTAAAAAATAAAAACAGAGCAGGGATCTAGCTTTTTGCCAGGCCTGTCTTCACCTAAAGATCTTCCTGTTAGACAGGCAGTGGCATGCCAGACATAATACAGCAGTCCTAACACCAGCATCCAGCAATCATCATTCAGTCATAATATCAGCTAAAAATAAGTAAAGAATTTTCAATGTAATAATATTGGATTCAAAATTGTTCTTGGTTTTGAGCGTCCGGAATTCAGACACTTGCATAACTCTTCTGTGACTCTAAAACTTGCCTTGCTTTTAGTTCAGGACAATTCATCATTAAAAAGTAAAATCATGTTGGGGGTCGTAATGTGTACGTTCACAACGTAAATGTTGTTTTACAGATCACAAGAGAATTTGAGGGTGATGACCCCAAGAAATGTCAGCTTGTTCTCAATCTCCTTTGTGAATAGTTGTCACTCAGTATTACTCATTCATGTTTTTCCAAGTTTGTTCAGGTTAAAGAGCAAAAAAAACTATAGAAGGATTCATCTCACACTTGAATCCAGATTGTAATAAAGTGTTCCAACTGTTGACTGCCACATGAAATCTATCTTCTTTTGTCAGATTTTCTCTGAAGATCTGAGGAGTAGCTGCTCTTGTAGCTCTTTTTGCTCTGATACCTTCACAGGGCAAAGAGTTAAGATTGTAATCATACAGCAAGAATGAGGTAGAAAGAAGCAAATTTTTTCCTGTATATGCATACAGAAAACCCCTGGGGAATGTAAGCCACTGTCGCTAAGTCAAGTGTGGACCTCCCAGAACTACTCAACAACGTACTTCTTTCCTTGACTATTTGACAGCATTGTTTTTTCCTTCACTGTTTTTTCCTACCTGGTTTCATGAATGAGTATCTTGCTTTCCAGAGACAATACAAGAGGAAGAGGAATAACATACAAAGTCAATTTTATTACCATAATCTGAAATGTTTTTTATGTGTAAAAATTTTTAAGCAAAGGAAATCATAATGTTTACTTTTTATTCAGTCACAGAGGTGTAAATCCATTAAATTTCAAAGACCTATATAAGGTCTCTCTAAATTTAGACAAAGTATTACCAGAAAGTATACAGATTATAACCTGAACTGTAGCAAGAAGGCAGGCAGGAAGGAACTGTAAAAAGATCTTAATAGAAAAGTTACACTGAACCAAAGAAGGAGGCATGAATGCTACATTTATTGTGATAAAACCTGTTCATTTTTAGAAGAAAGTAATTCTTTTGTGATCCTGCATCATAGAGTGAACAGCTATTTTCATTTTTTCTTTTTCTATTGTTTTAAAATAATTTGCTGAAGTGGAACCTCAAAAGAAATAATCAGTAGTGTCAGGTAATTCTCAGTTCAGTGATTAAGGTTGCGTCCTTGTGCCCTTTCTGTTTGCTTTTGGATTCGTTTTTTCCTTATAAGGGAGCACAAAGAAGAGTTCTTTTTCAGTTTTGAGTTCACTCTTGTTTTCTAGATTTCTTCCTCAGCCTTCTTTCTCACAGACGGGAATAAGTAAGAAAAAAAAATTTAAAAGGAAAACAGACAAAGAAAAGCACAAATCAAAACACATTTTTTCTGACTTTTTCATCTGAACTAGTATAAATGCAGCCCGTTTGAATATGAAAAAAAAATTAAAAATGTTGAACAGTGACTTTTTGGATGAAGAAGGACATTTTCATAAATAATTGGCTTCCTCACTGAGATATGCAATGCATCTTTAATAGGGAAGTTTTCTGGATTAAAAAACAAATTGTGAAGTTTTAACTGTTCACATTAAGTTTTATTTCTAACCAAGGTCAATATGAGAAAAAAAAAGTCAGTGATCTCATTTTCTATAGTACTTCAGTGTAATGGTTTTGAGTCTAGGCCTTTACAAACATATAAATAGATGGAGAGAGAAGACTCTCTTCCCTTCCGGCGAGGTTTGGAGACAGCAGACTCCTGCAACTGGTCTCGCTCCTGTGGGGGAGCTGAGGCCTGGCCGGGCCTACGGGGCCTGTTGTTTCTGCCGATCCAGGGTCCAGTAGCGTGGCCGTGGCCTTTGGGCGATTGTGCTATCTCAAGGAAAGTATTAAAGTTTTCTTTGGCTAGTTCTTTATTGAGTGTGTATACCAATTTTTTGTTTTGTTTTGTTTTTGTTCTCTTTCCCTTCTCTGTTTTCAAATGTTGGGTTTTTTCTCTTATGTGTATATAGTTTTTGTAATTGTATATAAATGTAATATAAGTATAAATATATTTTTATATAATGTTTTAGCTCTCTCTTATTTCCATTCTCTTGGGGTTTTTTTTTCCTCTTTTCTCTTGGTTTTTGGGGGGGGAGCTCTTGCGATGGGGGTTTGGAGACTTGGCAGGGAGCCAGCTCAAAACCACCACATTCAGGTATTTCACAGGCCCAGGAAACACAGAGATATTTTCACGCAATCATAAAGTTTTGGCTGTTGTTTATTGTCGCTGCTGATCTTGCACACTATCACTGATGGAAAATTGTAGTATCTGATCTATGAAGAGCTAAATATATGTTTACTGTATTCTAACTTTTCCTGTGTTCTAAATGTCATATGCTGAATTACAAAATCTAGAAATATTCAAATTGTCTTAAAGTAATAAAAGATTTCAAACACCCAAGAAATATTTTTAATTTAGAGGTAGGAGAGTAGTTATGTCAGTTTTAAAGCATTAGGTTTCTACTTTATTTCAGCTCTGTTGGGTTGAGAAACTTGGCATGATGCACTGCAAATAGTTACTGACAACACAAAGATCCAACCAGACTGTAAGGTACTTGATGATTGCACTTAACACTGATTGACCAAAAATATATAACATTTCATTTTAGGCAGGCAATTTGGAGGTAATGGGCCAAATAGTACATTCTTGCTCTAGATAAGATGCTGGCATGATGTGAAAAATTAATTTTTTAAAGCCCTTAATAAATCAATGGAAGATTAGACTACAGTCTGCCAGTTCTGGGTAGTTCATCCTATATCTTTCACATTAACTTGACTGCAATTATGTATGGAATTATACATATATATATTTATATATATATTTCAGGAGGCTACCAGACCTCTGAACATGTAGAAACTTCCACTGTAATATTATCAAATTGTTCAATTTTACTACTTTGTATGATTCTGGTAACAATCTCTTGAAGCAGCAAATATCTGAGAGAGTTCTTGAAAAAGTACATGAAACTGAGAAATTCCTCTTGAAATTCAAACATAAATTAAAAGATTATACTTGTGTGCATAGGAAAGAATCTTTATGAAGATTCAAGTAAGATTTTACTCTTTTATGGCCAACAACACTATATTTTTTTCTTTTTTATCATGTAACCAGCTTTAAAAAGACACTGAATGATGTTACTGAACAAGCTTTCCAGCATTTCTGCTGGACCATCATACTGATGACTAAGTGACTATTAAGATAAACTCCCCAGTCAAAACAACCAGAGTACATATTAGTGTTCAAGAGTCAATAGACAAGATACACATTTTTGCAGTGATCCAAGTAAGCGTGCACTGATTACCTAACTAAAAACAAGTTTAAAAATATTATATTAATATTAATGAATATTAACACTTTTCAAGAGGTAGTAATGTGATCAGCGATGTGCCACTTTTAATTGGCATTGCAGTTTTAAAAATGCTTTTGGATAACAATCTGATGCTAAAATAACATCTGCTAGATAAAAAATTTTAAAGGACTTTTCAACATTTTTGTTTGCATCCCACCTATACTTTTTTTTGCATCGCACCTATACTTTTTTCTCCTCTTTTCCACCTCTCTTCTATTACTTTCACTTTTAACTTTTTAGTCTTAACCAAGAAAGTGAATTATATGCTCAGCTGGCTCAAATCACTATAGTCATTACAACAGAAACATTCAACACCAGGGAACAAATAGTATTTCTTTACAATTAGGGTTTATCAATACTGCAAACATGAACTGTATAGAATTTGATTAAAGTGCTGCTGTGTCCTGACCTGGTTGTGAAGTGATTCTAATTTGCGGTGTAGACAGTAAGTCTTCTTTTATCCTTTTATAGCCTTCTCCACTCCATTAATGATAATAGGATCTGATTCTTTCCTTTTTATTTTGGTGAGGAGGCTGGAGGTGAGCACCATGGAGAGCTGCTGAATTACCGTCACATGACCCAAAAAGTTAGCAAGTGCATAGTACAGCAAATTTCATTTTCAACATTCAATTTTAATCCATAATGTTACACTATATGGCCAGGTAGTTTAATATTAATTTTATTCTCTTCTTATCAAGGTTCCTTACCCTGTTTGAGCTGTGTGCTAGCAAATTCAGTTGTTTCAGTTGTTTCTCAGTGATTTCTGAGATTTGTTTATTTCTATGCTTTTATTTTCAGGATCTTAAGGTACTCCGTTTCTAAATAATATTTTGCCTTATTTTTTATAGGAAAAACATAAAAAAAACCAACAGACTTGAATATAACATAAGAGTGTTTTTTGTCCCAGACAACATAAAATTATATGCCATTTATAGATTAAAAAAAACCCAAAAACCTAAAAAATGTCCTTTACAGCAGGGTCAATTTCTAGCCTGCTGTGAGTTAAATTAAATCACTGTCTCTGGTTAACTCAATAATTATCAGGACTCAGTTCACAAACCTTGACAACACATGCTGTTGCATCAGTTATGGTAACAGCATATGAAGCTGAGACCCCCTAGAAAATGCGAGAATTGTATGAAACATCTTGTTTACACTTTACTCCAAGCGTTCAGCATTCAGAATGAAAGTACTTCCTGAGTGGAGTCCCTCAAGGGTTGGTAGAGGGACCAAATCTATTTAATATCTTCATCAGTTACACAAACAGTAGGATTGAGTACAACCGCAGCAAGTTTGGATGTGATACCTGATACACTTGAAAGAAGGACCCACAAGAACATCATGAAGTTCAACAAGTCCAAGTATGAGGCCTTGCACCTGTGACAGGGTGATCTTCAACATTAATATAGTCTGGGAGATGAAGAGATTGAGAGCAGCCCTTTGGAGAACGGATGAAAAATTGGACGTGAGGCAACAATGTGAACTCACAGCCCAGAAAACCAATTGTATCCTGGGCTGCATCAAAAGAAACGTGTCCAGTAGGTCAAGGGAGATAGTTGTCCCTCTCTACTTTGCTTTCATGAGACCCGACTTGGAGTGCTGCATCCAGCTCTGAGGTCCTTGGAACAAGAAAGACATGGACCTGTCAGTGCAGATCCAGAGGAGGGCTGCAAAAATGTTCAAAGGGCTGGAACACTTTGCCTGTTAGGGAATATTGAGAGAATTGGAGTTGTTTGGTGTAGAGAAGAGAGGCTCTGGGGAGACTTATAGCACCTTCCAGTACCTAAAGGAGGTTTATAAGATAGATGGAGAAAGAGCTTTGACCAAAGTTGGCAGGACAAGTGACGGGAGAAGGGTTTTTGCTACAAGACTGAGTTCTTAAAACAAACAAAAAATAAAAGTAATGCAAGCCTATTAACTGTCGTGAGAACTCTTTCCTTAAAAAAAAGAGTGAATTTACGACCCTTTTGTGATCTTAGGAAACTCATTTGAATTCTGTGGATGAAATCTTGGCCTTATTCATTGAGGTCAAATTACTGTTGAGTTTAGGATTCTTTTTCAGCAACCAACTTCATCTGCATGCTGGAGATAAAATTAATTCTGCACATTATTAATTTATTCAATTTATGAAAGCCAGTAGTAACTGTTCACACCAGGTATAGCATGCAATTGCAAAAATTAACATTGCAAATTATGTGTCAGTGTCCTGCGTTTTCTCCTGCTTCCCCTCTGGGGTTTGGCTGCCTGTGCTAAAGGCCAGATCTGATCTGGTGCAGCTGTGGGACCAAGAATCGGTGTGCTGGGAAAACAGCTTGGAGAGAAAAAGCTGTGAGACGCCTCTTTGGCATCCTGCTCCTCTTTGCACAAGAGATGCTTTTAAACCAAGCTGTTTAACCTTGTGTTTGCCAGAGCTATATTACAGCTTTGCCTGTGGTCACCTGTATGTCTTGCTGTTCCTGACCTGTGGACTTGACTTTCCAGCATAATCTTGGACCTGCCCTGTGGCTCTAAGCTAGCCTGGTGATCTGAACTGTCAGCTGAACCCAGTCACTGGAACTGCTCTTTTTCCTTGAGTACTATGGGACTATGTCCTTTGTCTTTGAGGGTGCCCTGCTGTCTCTCAGCTACTGGCCTGCCTTCTCTTCTGGAGCAGCTGATTCCTGCTGCCTCCTGAATCTACATGCAAAAGAGTCATAGCACATGCAATGTACTGCTCATCTTCCCCTCTGAAAATAATCACAGTCATCATGTGTGGTCCTGAATGAAAGTCTGTGGTGAGGAATATAATGGTAATACCTTGGGGCTTTTTTCTAAAGTACTACCCAACAGGTTGTTACAAAATCTGAGCAAGGAGGGAATAAATTCTCAATTATGTCTTTTTTTCTTTTTGAGATATAGAATTTTATTTCATAGCCAAAACCAAAAAAAGTACTGCGGCTCCATAGCAACTCTATCTTTGCATTTTCCAGGCTATTGACTGGATGATGTAACCCTAATACTGATATTTTAGTGTGTTTTTGTTTGAATGCACTAAAGACAGAAGTTTAAACCAACTCCTATACTCAAGGAGACATGAAGTTACTGAACAGTTGTGACTCTATCTTCCTCTTGAGTTTAGAAAGTGTTAGTTTCATAACTACAGTGTGCAAGAGGTACTTCCACTGAACTTCAATAAGGTAAACCATTATTTTTTTTTTTAAAAAGTGATTGTCCACACTATCTTGCTGTACTGCAATGCACCAATTAATTTTGTGATTGTAAGGAAGCTTTTTTTGTGTAATTTGCTTAGCCAATGCAATGTAGAAAGACTCTACGAGTGTTAAAGAGAATTTAGCACTTTGAAATATTAGCCAAATTGTCTATCAATATGTTGTTTTATATCTGTGGAGATGGAAACATAAGGAATTGTCCAGATGGACTAGAACAGAAGGGACAAAGAAAAAAAACGTTACGAATGCTTTCTATGAATTTTCAGAAACTTCTTCATATAGACTCCACTTGCTGGGAATTCTACAACCTTGTGAAAAATGAAAAGGGGCAAATGGCTCTTTTCATGATTGGTTACCCATTTTATACATGCCTTTGTGTGATTCAGTAGGGTTTAATCCCTATTGGTAGCTTTTAGTGGTTATACTAACATACACTATATTTCAGCTGAGTTATTTGTACTCTAATATCACATATACAACAAATTTAAGGTATTTTCCATGTAGCTACCGTTGCTTTCTCTTCTGACACCACCAACCATAATCATTCTAAGGTCCAGGATTTCCTTGATTGTTTTGGCTTTAGATTTCAAACTTTCCAGAAGAACATGACACTAAAGAATCAGTTCTGTGTGGTTTTATAGTTTCAGGCACTAGCCAACCCTGTCTCCTACCTGACATACAGAACCATAAAACATTTCTTTCTCGCTTTACAGCCAAAACTCTCAATTTTTTTTTTTGCAGTTATATTTTTACTTCGTAACCTGGAAATTATTTTTGTCTCTTTATATTTAGGTGCACCATTTTCTGAAGTATTACAACAAATCATTCAAAATGGGAGTATTTAGGGAGAGAAACACTTTTCTTATTAGCAGCCAGAGCAACTGCAATGTCTGAGCTGCTTACAGGAAACAAGTTTTCACAGTTTTGTTTTCATGCTATTTGCAGCAGGTCAGACAGGCAACGATGAACTGATAAACAGTGATTTTATTTGTTTTTGTTCTTCAACTCCATTTATCCAAGTCGTGCTGCAACACCAATCCTCCAATAGCTGGCTGTGCCAACTTCAAGGGCTTCTCTCTGCTGCACTGTCAGTCAAACTTATGAAGCCTTTGCACTGAAACTGTCATCTCATGGCTGGAACACAGGGGATGCCAGTCCTGTTCAAGGAGAATGTGCTTCTTCTTTTCATTTCGGTGAAAAGTGTAGGACTTTTTAAATACTTAGCTAGTTAGCGTTTTCTAGACTTTACAGAACTCTAAATTCCATGCCTCATATTCAGCTAAGCTGATGATTTCTCTATTGACAATTCACGCAGAGGTGCTGGGTAGATGATGAAGGATTTTTTTGAGCTGAACAAGTAATGAGGAAATATTCTGGCAAAAAGTCAACTGCTTCATAATCCATTAGAGAAGATAGAAAAATGTTTCTGTCAGTATCACATGTTGTGCAATATATATCATGCAGGTTTCAACATTATTATTTCTCATTCAGAAATTTGAAAATCGAGATACAGAGCACACCTTTCCCATTCCCCAGGTATGCACAATTTAGTTCAGTAAAATTATTTAAATGGCACATCATGTTGGGGAAAGAAATTGTTCCAATTAAATAATTGTCAGAGTGTCATAAAGTTATATCCACAGACATTGTTTTTATTAGATGAATTTCCAGAATAATACTGTAAGTATCATCGAAAGTATTTGAATGTTAAAAGACTGTTCTGTAATAAACTGACTGCATGAAAGCAAACGTATGGAAACTTTAACATAAATAACATTGTCGGAGAACTGTAAGCCCCACAGAGGAATGCATACACGATGAAAATAGAGAAATTCTTGTAATTGGGTTTACAGATCCATGAAAGAATGAGGTAATTTTGTCATTCAATTCTTTCCATATGTATAGCAGTAAGCTTCATTCTCATAAGTAATATATAAAGGCTTATCAAACCAGGTATGTCATGCTAAAAAAAGGACTGATACTTCCATAAAAGAACTACGTTGTTACTCATATTACATTCAAACAGTAATCAACAAAACACCTATGCCACAATTCCTCTCACAGGAGGAAGTAATTTCTCAAATTTCATCAATTGCTAATTTGAAGTCATAACTGGCTCCTATTGCAGCAATAAAATCTTAGCAAACAGCTAATGTTTTTTTGTACATTAGTGGGCGGATCTTATCCGCCTCTACTGGGTTTTGTGGTTTTTAACCTGGAAACATGAAGTAAATCTCCACCAGGGAACACAACTGAAATATAGTTGTAAAAGATAAGCTTGCATAATGAACTTAATGTAAAGTACATGCAGACCTCATTTTAATCACTGAACCAAAATATTTTTTCTTGGAAAGTATAACCACTGAAAGCTACCAATAGGGATTAAACTCTACTGAATCACACAAAGGCATGTATAAAATGGGTAACCAACCATGGAAAGAGCCATTTGGCCCTTTTCATTTTTCATTTATGACACAATTTTGTGCCAACATACTATGCTATTTGAAAAACTGTCTTTTTTTCAAGAGTGTGCACTCTGTTATTTGCCCAGATACTTTTGTAAACATGCCCTGTAAATTATTGGTGGGATGTATAGAACACTCATTGTACTTTGGAAAGAAGTAGTTTCGCTGGAAATCAAATACATGACTTTGAGAGTTCTACAAATACTGTAAAATTTCATACAGTTTAATTCTGTCACCACAAATTTCTATAAAATGTATTTTTTGACGTGCACTGAAATTTTTATTATAAATTGAGTGATGGGTACATGAAAGGGAACATAACACGCTACAGTTCTTTCCAATACCTGACAAAAAATAAAACTAAAATTAAATGCACAGCTAGCATACACAGATAGTGGAAAAAAATAAATCTTTGCAGAATTGCAGTGCTGTAGTTGTTTTTTGATTTTCTTTTTTTAAGTAACATTTGTACAATTATAAGGAGGCCCATAGAGATTACAGGTCTTTAAGCCTTGGTTCAGAAATAGTATTGCACAAATTATTTTCCCATTAACGTTTGCAAAACTCATGTAACATAACTCTTAAGATCTGGGAATTCATGCAAACTGACTCTTCATCCTGCCCATGAACACACAGTTCAGTGGAGATGCATGTCATCAGTGGCTACTATTTTCTGCCCTGGTAGCAGTTTTAATTAGAATATTTCTCAACCAAAGAAAGTAATTCTCTGTTCCAGAAAGAATCTCCTCTAAACATGAAAGGACCAAGCTAATATGAACAGTGCATGCCTCTATGTCTGCCTTCTTCACTATAAGGAAAGTAGGCATTACATGTGTGCACTTTCCCAAAATATTAGTATTTACTAACAGGTGAATACATTGCTAGTAGGGAAAACAGTACTAGCTAGCTCTAAAGATGATACTTTCTTTTTTTCCTATGGACATTTTTTAGTTTTTTTACCCCTAGAACATGATGATACCCAGTTAACCTCCAGTCAACACACTTGTTAGTTAAAGGAACAGCAGTGAAGATTATGTGTGATTTTCTTGGTTAGGTACAGAGAAAAGTCAGGATTTAATTTGTCTGGTGTGAGAAACGGAAGAGGAGGTGTTATTCAGATGTGAGCCCAACACCCATGTCAAACTACTACTTAACCTCTGCAGCTGGTCAGATGAGATGAATTATCTAGGCAAACAAAGTGGATGCATGTGGCCTGCATGTTGTAGAATGAGAACCATGTACCTAATTATCTTATGGCAGATAGTGATAGCAGGAAAAGGAAAAAGACAGTACAGTGTGGGAGTGCTGAGGCTAGATTGCATCGAGGCTGTTCAGTCACAGATCTCTTAGCATCTAATATGGACTTCATTTATGCTCATTTACTGCTTCTTACCAATTAAACAAATGATAAGCTAGTATGTGGCTAGAACCAGCCACACACATACTGGAGAAAAATAAGCAAAATATATGGAAGAAGACAAAGAAAGAAGAGAAATCAATGTCCAAATAACAGAAATCACAGATAGAGTT